TTGTCTAACAAAACTGTCCACAGGATCTTGAAATACACTGGATTAATAACTAGGTTTTATCCCTTGGTAAATAACCAAAGTTATCTCCAAGAAAGAGGTTCCTCTCTGTATTGTAATCATTTCAGACTACCCTGTTAATTGCAAATGAAGTTTCATAGGTTGTTCTGCTATTATCAGCATCTCCCTCCAGAAACACAGAAAAGGGAAGGCATCTGTGTGTAAATGCTGAGGGAGGAGGACAAAGCCGCGTGGACAATGTCTTCCCTTTTGCCCCAACCTGGGTGCAGATTTTCTTACCTCAACTGCGGCATCCTTTTGGACTTTATGCAATATCTGGACAGTATGGGCACCACAGAGGTCAGGGATGGCGGGAGCTTCGTGGGTAGCAATTGCTGCTGTAAAAGGTAGAGGCAGTAACGGGGCAGTGGGGCTGTGGGGCAAGGTTTACTGTTCACTTTTGTGTCTTAAATTGTTTACTCAGTTCAATCCTTGCCATAGAATATACTGCTAGCAAGGCAAAGTAACTGATGATTGTATAAAATTGGGGCAACCCCCGGTATCAATACAGGCTGGGGGATGAAGGGATTGAGAGCAGCCCTGCGGAGAAGGACTTGGGGGTACTGGTGGATGAAAAGCTGGACATGAGCCGGCAATGTGCGCTTGCAGCCCAGAAAGCCAACCGTATCCTGGGCTGCATCAAAAGCAGCGTGGCCAGCAGGTCGAGGGAGGGGATTCTGCCCCTCTGCTCTGCTCTGGTGAGACCTCACCTGGAGCACTGCGTCCAGCTCTGGGGCCCTCAGCACAAGAAGGACATGGACCTGCTGGAGCGGGTCCAGAGGAGGGCCACCAAAATGATCCGAGGGCTGGAGCACCTCTCCTACGAGGCCAGGCTGAGAGAGTTGGGGTTGTTCAGCCTGGAGAAGAGAAGGCTGCGGGGAGACCTTATTGCGGCCTTCCAGTACTTAAAGGGGGCCTACAGGAAGGATGGGGAGAATCTTTTTAGCAAGGCCTGTTGTGACAGGACAAGGAATAATGGATTTAAACTAAAGAAGAATAGGTTTAGACTAGACATAAGAAAGAAATTTTTTACACTGAGGATGGTGAAGCACTGGCGCAGGTTGCCCAGAGAGGTGGTGGAGGCCCCATCCCTGGCAACATTCAAGGTGAGGTTGGATGGGGCTCTGAGCAACCTGATCTGGTTAAAGCTGTCCCTGCTCACTGCAGGGGGGTTGGGCTAGATGACCTCTAAAGGTCCCTTCCAAAGAATTCTATGATTCTATGAAAATAAATAAGAAAGAAATTGAAGGTGTTTCTGACTTGGGATGATGTATTGAAAAGTAATCTTTAAAATGGTCTAGAGAATACTATAGTGTAGTGAATTAATATTTTCAAAAACTTAAGTACTCTTAAGAGAGAGGGAACTATGACTAAGAAGCCTCAAAGTTACCATTAAGGCTATTTGGACCTTGACATATAATTGGAATGCATAAAAATAGTCTAATTTATAAAAGTTTGCACTTTGCATGGTAAAATCTAGAGGGATTAAACTGCAGACCAAATGTTCATTAATCTTCCCATTGAAGCATTGCTGTCTGAAGTGTAGCCAGCTGGGTGATTATTGAATCTAAAGAAGGATTTAAGATTCAGAATGCATTTTGAAGCTTTTATGTGTATTGTAACTTTTCTAACAACACCATGAATTGATCACCCTTGTGAAAAATTAATCAAGGAAAATGTATTGTTGTTTTTTGACACACAAAAATTACACTTTATAATGGGGGAGAGAAGGGAATGTATTTATGATAGAGGCTGACTTTTCAAGAAAGTTGTATTGGAATAAAAATATTTATAAGACTACAGTTAACAGCTAAATCCTACATGCCAACGGCTTGGTGTCTAACAGCTCTGTATAACCTTTGTACCACTTTCCAGAATACAAATGCATTATAATGAGTGATGGGATGGTATTGCTGTAAGAGAAATGTCCAGACAAATAATAATGCATTTTAAGTGTAAAAACAAACCCAGCAATTCCCCAAGCACTCCCATTTTCATGATGTATTGTCCCTGCCTGCATTTTCACTCATTTTCCATTATTCATGTCTTCCTCTTAAAACAGAAACACTTTGAAGTACAGATTGTCTTTTGGGGGGGGCAAGGAGGCAATTTCTATAACACCAAATACATTGTCATCACAAAGCACGTATTATCTATCACATCAGCTTGCACTTAAACTTAACAGTGTTTTTCCATCCTTTTTCTCCCCAAATTATTTGAAGTCTTCTGTTTGGCCAGTTTAGCAACTTCTGGAAAGCATTCGCACCACTTGCCTTGAGATGTGTGGTAGAACAGTCTGGAAAATGAATCTTTGTGAGCTTCTCTGTCCTCATTGTGGAGAGAGAGGTTCCTCCAGGGAGTGCTTCAGAGCAGAGCCGGCATTAAGTGCTCTGAATTGTCCTCTGGATGAGTATGCCCTTTCCCAGCACATGGAAAGGGGTCTAAAATGGGTGAGTTGTGTAGCTAAACATGACTTGTAGGACTGTTTGTCCTTATTTACCTCTAAATGGTTCCTTTCTCTTAGTGTGTAAATACAGATGGAAATACAATATTAAGACTTTACATTTTTCTCTTTGAGAGTTTAGACATCACGAAGTTATGAACTAGATGGGGTTTTACTCCTTTAATCTTCTGGCTTGGATCTTGCTGGTTGACAGCCAGCTGAACATGAGCCAGTAGTGTTCCCAAGTGGCCAAGAAGGCCAACAGCATCCTGGCTTGTATCAGGAATAGTGTGGCCAGCAGGAGCGGGGAGGTGATTGTCCCCCTGTACTCGGCGCTGGTGAGGCCGCACCTGGAATACTGTGTTGAGTTTTGGGCCCCTCAATACAAGAAAGACATTGAGGTGCTGGAGCGTGTTCAGAGACGGGCAACAAGGCTGGTGAAGGGTCTGGAGCACAGGCCTTATGAGGAGCGGCTGAGGGAACTGGGATTGTTTAGTCTGGAGAAGAGGAGGCTGAGGAGAGACCTTATCGCTCTCTACAACTACCTGAAAGGAGGTTGTAGTGAGGTGGGTGTTGGTCTCTTTTCCCAAGTAGATAACGCTAGAATGAGAGGAAATGGGCTCAAGCTGCACCAGGGGAGGTTTAGGTTGGATATTAGGAAAAATTTCTTCACGGAAAGGGCGGTCAAGCATTGGAACAGGCTGCCCAGAGAGGTGGTGGAGTCACCATCCCTGGAAGTGTTCAAAAAATGGGTAGATGTGGCACTTTGTGACATGGTTTAGTGGGCATGGTGGTGTTGGGTTGATGATTGGACCGATGATCTTAGAGATCCTTTCCAATTTTAATGATTCCTAGTTTTTACTTTCATTATAAATGATCCAGCCACCAAGCCAGGAGGCGTGGGATTGCTACTCTACCTTTAATTGGTTTAGTGATGGACTTGGTAATGTTAGGTTACTGGTTGGACTGGATGATCTTAATTGTCTTTTCCAACCTAAACGATTCTATGATTCTTCTTTATTTACTTGTCTCCCATCATACGGCTCTTGATGTCTACAGCAGTTTTTACCTTCTTTTCTCCTGTTCAGCCTATTTGTTCTTACTTCCATCATTTTGGTAATGACGGGATTATTTTTTAAACAATCATAGTGGATTATCCTAGTAGCTATAGGGTCGTACAGGAGACAACAGGTGCAGACAGCCTTTCTTTTTGGTTTTGGGATGGGAGGTAGGCAGCTGTGTTTCTTTCTCAGAGATCTTTCTCTCTGCTACTTCTGCACGCTGCAGATTCTCAGAATCTCTAGTTCTCAAAAATACTATGAAAACGATGTCACCCTTCATGGGATGCAAAAGTTTTTTTCCTTAGATGGAAAGGGGCTGAGTTTTCCTATGTATGTATTGCTTCCTTAAATTCTGGGGATCTTAGTAGGAGAAAGATGCTATATTAAAAGATGAGACACCATCAGTAAACCTTGCAAAGCTTAAGAGGGTCTACTCTTGTCTTTGTTTTCCAGTGACTATCCAAGTTTTGCAGTATTCATGGTGTGTCAATTCTTTTCCAGTTTCCTCGGACCACAGAGTGAACTCAGTGCTTTAATCTTTCTCCCCACCCAACAGCATCCCTTCCACCCCACCAAAAAATAAAGCATCAAAATGAAATAGTACAGGGAAAGAAAGTGGCAGGTTAATTGCTTAAATTGTCAGTTTGCTGACACTTTTTCGGTTGCTAAAACAGAGATGAAAAAATAATAATGTTATGTGATAATGTTTCAGGTGGCTTACGCCCAATTTCTGTTTACTCATGTGCTTTTTGAGCATTCATCTGCACTAGCAGAATATATAAATTGGAACTGAAAAAGTGATCTTGATGAGTAAAAAACGTATTCTGAAACAGCCTCCTTCTCATTTTAAATGAAAGTATTTAGGGTGGTGGTGGGGAATAGGGACCAAAAGGACCTCAGCAGAGCTACTCTGACTATAGGCTGCCTGGTATTATGTTTAAAACTAAAGATATAGGAGTGTGTTCATTCAAACTAAATGCTGTTAATTCATACTTAAGTGAAAATGGTTAATGCAGGAGAACATAAGTGAAAATGGTTAATGCAGGAGAACATTAATGATAATAGGGAAATGAAATAGCCAATTCTTTTCACCTCTGACAAAATGAGCCCAGGGCAATACCAATGATGAAAACTGTCACTTGCATAACTTCCACTTTTCAGTCAAGTGGAATAAAAATTAGAACCACAAGTGACTCTAGAGGAAAAGTCAGTGAAGTGAAGGACTGTTTTCTCTTCCTTATTGAACTTGCCCATTTACTTCACTTTTCCTGAATTTAATACAAGAAATTGGATCTTATATTTAGAAAGATTGTATCCTAAGAGATCAACACTATCTAAGAGGTAAAGTGCTGGCATTTGTTGTCTTTTGTACAGCACTTAATAAACACCAAAAAGTCAGCAAATTGAGGAGTTCCTTAGCAAGGCAAATGGAGGTGTGGGCCATTGATTTTGAACAGCTGTGTATTTTTCTCAAGTTTACAGGTACCAAAGGAGGTAGTTATGCATAAACGAATCATCATCTGTGATTGTGAAATAGATAAGTATGTTAAGTAAATATTTTTTCTAATCTTTTCAGTATGGCTGTGTTTGCTGCTCATTATTTTTGTGTATATATATGTTTCCTTTTCGAAGTCTGTTTCTTTCAATCTTCAGTTTCCTCTCTCTTCTTTCTGCCTTATTATTTCTAGCTGGTTTTGTTGTCCTTCCCTCAATCAGGGTTGGACACCTTCCTTCTGGAATTTGTTTGCTGGAAAATGAATGGGACCAATAGTGCAGTGAGAGTAAGCCTTTTTTCACTGATATCTCCAAGGCACACTGTGTTACATATTCAAGTTAACAGCCT